ATGCGAAGCAAATTGCAGAGGCTCTGCCTCGCATCGCTGATAGCTCTTGCCCAAGCAGTCTCAGCTGCGCATATATTCAGGCCCCTCGGCACACCGGACGAACGCGTTCTGGGGCCAAGAGTCGGATTGAAAGTAGGTAACGTGCTTAGTCGAGGTCTCATACGGCGGTTTGAAGCTTCGCCTCCCGCAAGGTCAGACTTGCACTTGCCCGATGGTATCTTCACCTCTGCGGATCCCCTCGCGGCCTTACGCACATACTGGCACGATTTCTTGTGAGTCTCTGATCTTACCCAGCACGTACTCTTCGCGTTGGTACTGACAATCCTCTTTGTGCCTTGCTTTGGTAGTGTCTGGCAATTTCCTCGACATTACTTCATTCAGCTGTACGTCATTACTGGCGTGATCGGAGTCATCGCTGTTCTAGGAGCTATGGTGCTGGGCAGAAGGTTGTACACCAAGCAGCTATGGATCATCAGGATTCAACAGACCGTCGGAGGTTGCAGAATTCTCGTTCCGCACACCATTCTTGCTTTCACGTTGGTCGCCTGCGTGTTCATCGGCGTGTGGCTTGCCTTCACTTGGGTGAGTGAGATCGCACGATGCGCTCGTCTTGCCCGCCAATGTGAATTCACACGGCTTTCACCTCGCCACGACACAGCTTCTCATCGGTGTTCATCATTGGGGAGTCACCCCAACGGTAGCAGGATGGATGATCCTTTTGCCGTGGCTGCCTTTATGGATCGCAGCCTGGCTAGGAGCCTGGGGCACTTTGTATGCTTCACCAGGCTGGCAATCGATGCGGTGCCATGCAACCTCTTGGGCCGACGCACGCAAGTGGATTCCGAATCCTTTCATGTGCAATCTCATCCTCGTCGGCACTCCCTTGCTGCTGGTGGGCTGCACCGTCGGCATCACTGTACCTTTTGGACTCAGATGGGACAAAGCGGTGCACATGTGGCAGATTTGGGATGGGCAGCAAGCTAACGCAAGCGGCAGCATAACACCAGAAGTGCTGTCTCAAGCGTATGATATTTGGGAAGAAGCCGAGAACGCCATTTGGTGGTTGGGATTGGGGTTCTTGGTCTGGTGCTTCTGGGCCTACGGATTTGGTCTGTTCTACTTTTTCGTCGGTTTTGAGCTTCAAAGAACTATCCGCAAGCAAATCAGGGAACAGCTGGCTCTGGGAGAACTTGCCAGAAAGGAAGGAGTCACTCCTCTCAATAGGCCAGTGTGGACGGATGCGGAAGGCGATGCTCGCTCCGAGCACTGTCAGACGCCCGCCGAGGAAGCTGCGCTTGCCGAGAGCGGCGTCGTGGATACTGCCGCTCCCTGCAAGCTCCAAAAAGATGACGAGGAAGCCCATTTTGAGGCGAACTCTCCAATCAGCTCGTCCACGCCAGCTCCGCAAGCTGTTGAGAAGGGCAATATGCGCAAAGGAAAGGAAGCGGAGACGCACGCTGCAATGATCGAGCGTGCGCGTCAAGCCCAGACTTACCTCGACGAAGAAGCAGAGCTTCAAGCGCGCTCCACGTTCTGGCCACCTGTGCGCATGGACGGCAATGTTGGCGCACCGCGAACACATCGGTCGCGAGTCAAGCTACTGAATGAAGCTCTGCGCAATCTGTTGACCATCTGGTCCAGCATCCTCATCGCCATCTTCCTCTACGCTGTAGCTGTGTCATACTGCGCTTCAGTGGCTATCGAGTGGACAGCAAGATCGGACGCCCCTCAAGCGATTGTGCGCGTCTATTCTGGCATCAACCTGGCTACGGGTTGGCTAAATTGCGTATGCGGTGGCTTGGTTCTCGTCATCATCTGGCTCAACGCTTTCGAACCGATCTTTTCTGGTTTACGGAGCGGAAATAGCACAAATGGCACCGTCGGCATGACCACGACTGAACGAGGAGCTCAAGGGATAGCGTCGAGAAGATACACGAGCAATGGCGCCGCAACTGGCAGTCGGAGAGCATCCAAGCCTTCGTCGTCGCTAGGAGCCTTTGCCTTGGGCAGAAGACGACATAACGCAGCAGACTCGGACACTGAAATTGGAATGACGAGCACCAACTGGGCTTCGCAATCAGCTTCTCGAATCCGCTTCAGTGGCGCAGGGGCGCCCAACGAGATGGCGACGACACACCTGATTCCAGACCCTCATCACCGCCAAGACAACATCCCCGAAGACGAAGACGAAGGAGCTTCATTCTCTCCCGACGTCGCCTTTCCGGGGGGCGATGCATCTCGCGAAGACTTTGGAGGAGCTTCATTCATATCCAATGCCGAGGCTTCTCGGTCAAATTCGATGGCAAAGACTCAACGAAGCGCTTCCACATTTCACTTTGATGATGACGGCGAGAAGGGACTTGCAATGTAGCTCTGGTCTCTTCACTGGGCTCACGAGGCGGGTGACATTATTGTATTTTTGAGATTGTTGTACTTGCTTTGCGAATGCACCTCGATTACCTCGAAATCTCAAAGCAGTGGTCCGCCCGCGCCGCAATTGCGAGCGAGCTGGCGAGCCAATCCAAACCTTGCCACATCTAGCCTTTGTCTAGCAGCATCGACATCAATGTCGGCGAGGTCTCGCCGAAGCGCGGCTGTCTCCGTCACTGACTCGGCAGGAGAGAGGAGCCTCTCTAGATAACCCAAAAAGTGCTGCGTGTCGGCACTGGCGCCAGGTCCGCTGATGCTAGATAAGATTTGTTCCACGACACGCAAGAGATCGAATGTCTCCTCGGTGGTGAACAAGTTCTCCTCGCCTATTCGCAGTAAAAAGTTCCTCGAATCAGCCAATCGCTCACAGTCTGGCCGAAGCTACCTGCAGCCGTGGCTAGAAAGCAAGGAGCAGGCAACTCACTCTCGAGCAATGGTATGGCATCGATGATCAAGACTGCCCAAAAGCGCTCTGGGGCCACATTGCTTGTGAGGAGCAAGACGAGCAACTCTGCAGCTTCTCTCCATTTGCTCTCGGCGTACAGGTGATGAAAGTCTCGATACCTGGCCAGGAAAGCCAGCCTACTGGAGATCAAGCTTCTTCCAGATCCGTACTCCTCATTCAATTCCACATCTTCATCTTGTGCGTCCACCTTCTCGTTGCTTTTCGAGGTGGGCAGACCATCCAAAAGACTTCTAGGGATGTCGTCCACCAATTTGCAAAACACGTCTGCTCCTCGAATCACATATTCTTCAAGGAGGGCATCCGCGATACGTCTGACTTGACGCGCGTCACCCGCCCGAACGCAGTACGCTATAGCCAGTCCATACTGGCCCGAAGCCGCTTTGTGCTTGGCCACCCTCTGAAGGGTGCAAGGGTACTTTGACTATGCTTAGTCTTCTGACCGCTCATTGTGGCATCGAAAAGACTGGTACTTACTTTGCACACAGCTCGGGCCTCACACTCAAGTCCGTGAGCCACACATGCGCCGAGCACCTGCTCCACTTCCCTAGCGAACGCGTTGCCCCTCTTCTCACTCTCCTCCTTCGCCTGTTGTGCTCTTCTCTCCTTGGCAGCATCCGGATCGTCCGAGTCCTCATCCATCTCCTCTTGCGCTCGTTCCCCTTCCAACTCTGCTAGTGTCTTGAGGGATAGCCGAGAATTGGAAATGGCATCTGTAGTAGTAGAGGACGACTTGGACTCGTCCAGAGGTACCGAGAGAATGATGTCTCGCATACGGACGCGTATGCGCTCTGTCGCTGATGAGGGTAAAGACTGTTCGGCAGACAAGAGGCAGCCGAGATAGTCCACAGACAGGCGCCAAAGACCCGAATCGTCCAAAAGAGTCTCTGCGTATTGCTCTATCGCAATGCCCCGCGCGCTGTAGCCGCAAGTCGAGGTCAGTGCGAACGCAAAAGCATGGTGAGCACATGGAGGCGGGAAGCCGACGCGATCGGTGGTGGCCGATCATGGAACAACACTCACGTCTCGTCATCTACGATACCCGCCTTGTCGAGAAGATCAATGAGGTGCACGGCGAGCCAAGCGTCGTACTGCAAGAGTTTTTGAACCAGCTGTATGCGAGGCAGAAGATTGAGAGACCACATCAGTCGTGCCCGTAATGCCCGTCCAAAGCTTGTGCTGCGCGTGCTTATTGAAGCTGCTGCGTACTCACCTGGCTGGTCTCACCGCTTGCTATTAGGGACAGCAAACTTTCGCCATCCGACGCCTGATCGATGGGCAACTCTTTGAGAATTTGCCGCATAGTCTCGCTGTGCGAAACACGGTCTCTGCAGACGTCAGTCTTCGAAACTCAACGTCGTCACCCTGTGAAGGACAGACGTCATGTTAGTTCAAGGGCAGTGCTCAACTCACGGTACATTCTCCCTCCGCATGGTGGGAAGCACATACACTCCCCAAGCGCCCAGAGCTTCTTTCCAATCTTGACAAGCTTCGAATGTTCTGCCCGCCACACCCGCCACTATTTCCAACAAGCACCTGAATTGCGCTTCATACTCCAGCCTGGCATCTTCAGCCTCCTCGCTGGAGAAGCTTGCTCGTTTCTTTGATGCATCGAATCTACCACTGCCTGCAGACTCTCCACCTTCGACTTCGTCCGCACCGCCAGCCAGTTCCAATTCGGCTCGATCCATGTCCTTTTCGAGTCTGGAGAGCAGAGCTCGAACACCGAGCACCCAGCTCCTTCGAGTGTTGACAAATTGCCTTTCTGTACCAAAGCTGGTGGAGCGTGGAAGCGTGTCGAACAGCTCTGCCACCTCTACGGAGAGGCGAGCGATGGTGGACGATTGGTGAGTCGACAAACTACGCAGCAGTGTAGATGCGCTCTTGTTGAATCCTCTGATGGTGAGCCGGAGGAGGTAGTCCCAGTATTGAGCGTGCTCATAAGGCACAGCAGACGACATTACTAGCCTTCCTTCTTCAGTGGAGGGAGCTACGCGTAGCGGGTCAAGATGCTCAGCAAAGGGCAAAAGGAGAAGTTGCTAGACCCGCGCATGATCATGAGCGCCGAGCTCAGCCCACCACTCACCTGGATCGATGATGTTCACCCAATTGAGCAGCTCCTCCCCGACGATTCCCATGCCTTCTCCGTCCTGTGGCAGATACATCGTCGTAGCCAGCAAGAGGATCTGTCTCGCTTCCGCGCAGCAGCTAGCTCTTCGCCTCAGGCCTTCCAGCTCCGCATTTAATTCCTTTCTCGTCTCGTTCGAAGTGGTGTTGGAAGAAGTCAAGTCCGATAAATCTTCTAGCCTGCTTCCCAACCGCCTCTGAAATGTGGTCAGATCGCGGGAGTAAAGATTGGTGGATACTCTAAACAGGCGAGAGATGGTCTCAGCTGTAATCGAGACTGTTTGACGTGAGTTGGGGGCCGCTTCCAGAAAGGAGGATCGTCTGGAAAAGGCTTCGTCGCGCGCGCTAGACTGAGGCTGGATGATTTGCTTGAGATTGCAAAAGACAGTGTAAGAAGAGACGAGGAACTGTCGAGGAGTGATCACGAGTAGGCCGAGAAAGACACGGCGGTTCGAGCGTGTCAGCATTGCGCGGGGTCACGTTGATTCCAGTGCGCACGTCAGTACC